TTTAGTCACTCAGTCATGTCCAACTCTTTTCGACGCCATGGTCTGTGGCCCGCCAAGCTCCTCTGTCCATGGGATTTCCCAGGCAAGAATACTGGAGTGGGTTGCCATTTCCTTCTCCAGGGGATCTTCCTGACCCAGAGAGTAAACACAAGTCTCCTGAACTGGCAGGCGGTTCCTCACCGCTGAGTCATCTGAGAAACCCAATAGTACTGCAGCAAAGTTAATTTTTTGGTTTTCATAATGGAACACAGTTCTGCAAGTTGTTAATCTTAGGGGAAGTTGGAAAATGTTACATGGGGACTTTCTGTACCACTTCTGCAAATTTTCTGTAAGTCTCAAGTTATGTCAAAACTAAGGGACAGTTCTAATGAGATGGATAAAACTGGAGTCTATTATGCAGAGTGAGGTAAGTTAGAAAGTGAAACACCAATACAGTATATTAACACATATATATGGAATTTAGAAAGAAGGTAACGACTACCCCATATGCAAGACAGCAAAAGAGACACAGATGTAAAGAACAGTCTTTCGGACTCTGTGGGAGAAGGTGAGGGTGGGATTATTTGGGAGACTAGTACTGATATTCTCATATGGTAATGTATATTACCATACGCAAAACAGATGACCAGTGCAAGTTCCGTGCATGAAGCGGGGCACTCAAAGCCAGAGCTCTGGGACAGCCTAGAGGGATGGGTTAGGGAGGGAGGTGGGAGGGGGTTCACAATGACAGGACACATGTACATTTGTGGGGGATTCATGTCGACAGATGGCAAAACCACCACAATATTGTAAAGTAATTAGCCTCCAATTAAAATAAATAAATTAATTTTTAAAAAATTAAAATAAAAAAAAGAGTTAAGGGAAAGTTAGCATCTTCATCCACAGGAGAATGATTCTACAACACTCTAAGTTCCCTGAATTTGTCCAGATACATTGAGGATTAATGATCAGGGAGAACAGAGCAGGATAAAAATGGACTGAGCAACTGGCAAAATATTTAGCCAAATGGCATGATCAAAGGAAATGTGCCAGATGTTTTCCAACAGCTCTACACATGGAGACACCTACAATCAGCAAGGACCCCGCTGTAAAGAGAAACCAGAGACACCCACGCCAGTTTCAACTATCACGTGAGGAATGATCTCTAAATATCCTATTCTCTCCTAAGAAGTCTAGTTCCATTACTCTTTCTGAATCCTCTAGAAAATTATACCTACTAGGCTCCAGAATTTGCTGTACCTGTGTATATGTTTGTAAGCTCACACAGACCTACATTAACACTTACTGAATGAGAGTTGGCACCTTGAAATAAATGTCTTTTTATAATTAAATAATTTCTTTCCAGGAAAGTCGCCATAAATATGTCACAAAAAGTGGTTAGTTTTAGTCTTCTCCACAAATAAAATATTTACTCTCTATTCATCACTAATTCCAATTTAATCAAATCATCCCCATTAGGATGAACAGTTATGCTACTAGGAAACAATATGCCCTGGACAAAAGTTTTAACATTGCTGTAGAATTAGAATTCCTAGGATAACCTCGGGGAGCTTCTCTATTTGTTTTTGAGGAACAGCTGGCTCTTTTTCCTAGTCTATTTTTGTCCTCTTTCAGGAAGTTTATGGTATCTTTGGAAAAACATCAGAAATACTCATGGTCATTTAAACTGTACCTTCACCAAAAAATGTTGTATATGTTATTTGCATATAATTTAGGAAATCTTTGAAAAACAAAATATCTACCTTTATCTTCAGCTACTTTTCATTTTCTAAGTGAAATCTTTTTGAACATACATTTCACTCTCAATTCTGAATAAAGGTCTAGGAACTGAGCTTCCTAAAAATCACATGATTCTAAGGACAATTCCAACCATCTGTTTTAACAGAACTGAGAATTTATAATCCTTCATTCTCTTTTGTCCTTACAACAGAATGTAAATATAGATGTTTGCGAAATAAGGAATTGCTTTTTCTCTCCCAACAAATGCTTAGTACTTGAGTCTCTCCTGCATGAGTAAGTATGGGAGATAGGTATCAAAAACATTTTACTCCTCTTGACATCAACAACTGTGATTAAAAGTGGTAACAGTAATAAAACAGCTAACAATTATCAATCAGTTGCTTCCTTGGTGTCAGACACGAGTCTAAGTAGCTGAAGCAGGCTCCCCAAGGTCACATGGTGGGAAATGGTGTAAGTGATGAACACAGTCTGGCAGTCTGACCCCAAGCCTGAGTAACTGGCAAGTATACTTTATACTGGATACTTTAATAAAATGGGCAGGCCCCAAAAGAAATTACAGTGGACACCCATCTTTAGTGTTGAAGAGTAACAGGGAGAGGTGTGAAATGGAGAAGCCACTAACAGCTTCAGCCTGTGGAGGCCTGAGTTGTTGGATCCTTTGGGGTTTTTTTTAATGGGAAACTGAAGTTCATATCTGAAGCCTCTTGATTTTGAAATGTTGCCACTTATTTGCAGCTTTTTTCTAAAAATCCTACTGGTCTGAAAGGTACAGGGCTACATTTTCAGTTCAGTTCAGTTCAGTCACTCAGTCGTGTCCAACTCTTTGCGACCCCATGAACCGTAGCACACCAGGCCTCCCTGTCCATCATTCTCAAGGCAGCCTCTTTCATTTCATTCATCGTTGTATCACTAATGCCTACTGTGTTTCTGGCACATAGTAGGTGCAAACAGGTTGACTCACGCTGTTAAAAATGCTTCCATTTTACCTTGGCCATTTGGTAGAAATTCATTAACTTACTGAGCTCCTGCAGTGGCTGGACACTGACCTGGGCACTCAGGATACAATAGTGAAGAAAGGAGAATAGAAGAGAGAGCGAGAGAGAAAGAGAAAGTGAGAAAAACTATATTTTAGAGGGGAAAAAAAAATAGGTCAAAAGAAAAAAAAAAATGAAAAGCACATAAAGTTAGATGAAGTATAGGCTTGGAGAATAAGCAGATGACTTACTCTGAAATAAACTACGCTACCCAGAGCTAAAGAATGCTGATACTCAGGAAGTCAGATACAATAGCCCATGCTTCCTAACGCCTCCCTGGTCACTACTGCACAAATATGCTACACATATGTAAGCAATTTCAAGGAGAGGGTACTCTTGAAAGAGAGAGTGCTCTCTTCACAAATGGAACAATACATTCTTGCTCCTTGGCTTGAAAGGGAGTATTGATCAGTAGTTAGTGAGCCAAAGGTTAATAATTCAGGCCTGATTATTTCTGTTATCAGACGCATGACTGATGGTGTCCTCGGGCTCCCTGTAAGAACAGGGACCTCCTTTGGATTGCTGTTACTGAGAACTGAGGAACTAAGCTATTCTCTCACAATTTGGTTGCAGGGGGCAGGGGTCATCTATCTCTTGCATCAGAGGGTGAGGGGCACAAAGGCTCCCCCACAGGGGGTGCAGGGCAGTCACCAAAGATGCAAAGTTGGGGCAACGTAAGTCTAATTGGCAACTGTATGGTAAAGCACCAGCTGGGATAGGCAACTCCTGCTCTCATGTATTATTATCCCAGAAGACCGCATGCTGAGCAGATGGAACGTCTCCAGTCTGCTTTGGAAAGGGATATAATTTCGGATAGCCCAAAGGGCATGATCTGGCTCCGCTCTTAGACAGCTGCATAGGGCTACAGACGGGGGGTGGCCACACCAGGACCAGCCAGCAGTGCGCACACCAGACCCCCACCTCTCGCCAGTATGTCTATTTAGTTACTCATAATCTGAGCGATTTGAGTCGACCATCATGCTTAGAAAAGAAAATACCCGAAAGACAAACACTAGTTTGTACCTTCAATTAGCCTTTAAAATAATGTGCACGGCTCTTAAACCTGGAAGAAAAAAATGTTATTTTCTCATTGTCTTTATATAAAAATTAGATTTCACTCAGTCTGCTCTCTTTGGAAGACATGATATTTTCTTTGTTAGCCCAGCCCAGCCCAGGTCTCATGCCAAGGCAAGTTGTTCTTCTCATGGATGCTAGCCAAGAGGATACTTCTTGAAATAAAGTCACAATCTGCTGAAAGCCTTGCAAGTCCATTAAATTAGGAAACAAGTAATCCTTATCACAACTAAAGATAAAAGCAAGAGAAAAAAATTACTGAAAATAAACATGCAGAAAAGCACAACACTCAAACTCCCCACTAGTAAAGAAAACCATTGCTCAATGGATGCACGGCAGATAGTCACATTTAAACAAATACTATTTCCCCTAAACATGTGTCAGAGACATCAAACCATCTCACTTACTAGTGTAACATATCTGACCATCCAAGGTAACTTTCTAAGGGTCTCACATTGGTTTACTTAACAGAAGTCTTGCCAGCCTTGATCTTGGGTCAAATAGATGAACACCAATAAAGTAATTAAGCTAGATCCCTGATTTATAAAATCTAAAATGCACATAGTGAAAAGCTTTCAGACCTCTTTTGACCCAAAGGAAAATTAGAACTGCATTTATAAACAGTCAACATTAGCAATAAAACAACAGTGACACCAATGTATGTATACATTCAAAAGGGTTTTTTTTTTTTTTTTAATCTACAAGTAAAATCGTTTTTAAAGGTCTACCGAGATTTCCTTTTTGGAGAATCTCTCCATCTGTGTTTTAGCTAATGTGAAATGTTACTAAAAAGTTCTCCATAGTGTTCGCAGGTTTAAGATAATACATTTTACTTTCTTTTCTATTTTCTGCTGCTGCTTCACTTTTAAAAAAAATTCTCCAATAGTTCAATAGATGAATCTGGCAGAAATAAGGCATATGCCTATTACCAGCAAGTTGTATCTGAACATAACTCTGCTAACCTCTCCTGGCCAACGTCTTCAGAGGACAATACAAAGAACCACAGGCTCACTCATCGCGTCCACCAAAACTTGAAACCACAATCGGACGATGGTGGTCCTCTGCTCTGGCGGAAAACCCAGCTGCCTGTGAAACCACCACCCCCCGCCCCCCCAGCCCAGGAGACCCGTGCCGGGTGGGCGATGTGGGTACCTGCTGCCGGGGAGGCTGGCGGTCGCCCGGGGCGCGCAGCGCGGCTCGGGGCTGGGCGGCGGGGGGCGCGCGTACGAGTGGTAGGCGGTGAGCACCACGCCGCCCGAGTCCTCCACTTCCATCGTCAGCCGCGCATGGCTCCGCTCCGGCCGGAGAACAAAGGCGGGGACCAGCATGGGCCAGCGCACCGGCCCGGTCCCCGGCGGGGCGGGGAGGCGCGGCCGTCGGGCTCCCGGGGCCGGGGCTCCTCCCGCGGCCGGGCTGTCAGGGGCGCGGGCTCGCCGCCCCGCCCGCCGCGCGGCCCATTAGCATGGATTCGAGTCCACGCCCACCAGCCCCGGGGGCTGGGGCGGGGAGGGCTAGGCGGGGGCCCGGGGGTGGCGTGGGGGTGGCTGGGGTGTGGGATCCCCGCTTCTGGGAAGCAGGAAGCCCGCCGCGATCCTCGGAGGCTCGCGCTGGCCGCTCGGGTCAAGTTTTTCTGGCTTTTGTTTCTTTCCCTTTTTCCCTTTCTCGCCCCCGCCCCCACCCCTTCCAGCGGGAGGCTTATCCCGCGGCCGGGAGCGTTTCCTGCTCGGCAGCTTGGAGCCGAGGAAAAAACCGCGCCTGGGAGCCCGCGCTGAGCGGCCGAGGGGCCGCCTCCAGCGTGGGAAGGAGAGGGAGAAGATGGGACTCTCATTTAAAGCATCCACATCAAAAATTGAAGAAGCGGATTACGTTGCGGTTTACTTAGTCCGGTTACAGGGGACTTGATTGCCTCTGGGGCACGTACCGCCCTCCTGCGACCAGCTGAGCACCTCCCTCACCCTGGGTGCCACACAGCCACCAAACTCTGCCTCGCCCCGCGTCCCTGCCCTCCTCCCCATCCCCAACAAATTCAGATACTGCCTTCGGCATGTCAGAAAACTAGACTTGATCCTTAGGCATGGAGAAGGAAATGGCAACCCACTCCAGTATTCTTGCCTGGAGAACCCCATGGACGGAGGAGCCTGGTCGGCTACAGTCCACGGGGTCGCAAGGAGTCGGACACGACTGAGCGATTTCACCACACTATCCTTAGGCGAAGAGAGCATGTTCTTCCCAGAGGTGCTTATTGAAGAGGGGTCCAGGGACCCGGCAGGGAGGCGGGTAAATGTGGCATATTCGGAAATTTGGGGTCTGAAAAGCATCTTTAAAGAACACTCTTTCTAGCCGATGAAAAAGAGAAGCAAAACCTCTCACCCTACAGAAAGGCCCACCCTGTCCAGGCGCTTGACTTGCTGGCTCTTATTCTCCCCTGGGAACCTAGGTTACCCTTACTTAGGGGTGACCTGGGTCCTGCTAAGACTTAACCTCTCAGGGTCTGTTTCTGTATCCATGAACCAGAGGGTAATCTCACCCTCTGTACATGCTGGTTCTCTGTTGCTTCCTTCACTTTAACCGAGAAGGGAGACATTTGTTTTCACTGCCCTTTCAGAAACTGGGAAGACAAAAACAAACGATCATCCAAAATGGCTTTTTAGAAAATGTTTGGTTGATTAAAAGGTGGGATAATAATGACTAACATTTACTGATCCTATACATTGGCTCTTTGAACAATCCTGTAAGGTAGGTAGTGGGGCTTCCCTGTGTGGCTCAGAGGTAAAGCAGGAAACACTGATTCAATTCCTGGGTTTGGAAGATCCCCTGGAGGAGGAAATGGCAACCCACTCCAGTATTCTTGCCTGGAGAATCCCGGACAGAGGAGCCTGCCCGGCTGCAGTCCATGGGGCCCAAAGAATGGAACATGACTTAGTGTCTAAAACAACAAAATAAATCCATTTTATTTAGAAACCTATCTAGTGCAGTTTGGGACAGCACCAGTGTATTCAAATATATTATTTCTTCAGCAAATAAATGACCCTGAGGAATAAATAAGGTCTACCAATAGTCTTATATTTATCAAGGTCAGGTTTGTCACCAAATAATTTTTGACACTAAACTTTTTTAAAAATGTGTGACTTTTACAGCTTTCTGATTTTTGGAATGACCCTAAGGAATTAGAGTAGCGGAAACTTTCCCAGGCATGGAATTTCTCCTTGGCATTTTCTGCTTGTTCCTGAACAACAAACTCACAATTTTAAATACCTGCAGTGTACGTCCTTGAAAATATTTTGGCCATGACTCACGTCCAATGTGGCAGAGTGCTCCCTGATGCTAATTTCAGGGGCCTCCTCTGCTTTCTCATGAATATTCATATTTTAGACACCCTGAAGTCACTTTGGCTCCTCCCTCCAAACAGTGATCACAGCTGTCATTTCTTTCTCAAAATGTCTGCCAGCCCTTCTTTCTATGATCATCACTGCTGTCTTTGTTCTTGCGTCGCCATCTCTTTCCTGGGTGACAGTGATCTTCCCTCCTTCAACCCTCCCCCACATTCAAAGAACGATTTTCATTACACACAAGACCCCCCCCCCCCCCACCGTTTCAAAAACCCTCAGTTGTAACCTACTTGCTGCAGAATTAAGTCCAAGTCCCTCAGAACAGGTTCTCATTCTCCTGTTTTGGTCACCTACTGCTTTTTCACTCCCAAGTCCTCGCAGCCCACTTACACCAGCCTTTCTCAAGTTCTTGCCTTGACTTTGCTCCTCCCTGTCCTTTTCCTGTCTGGAAATCCTTAAAACCACCCACCCACCCCCAAGAAGTCTTCTCAGGTGTTCCAAATTCAAAGGGACCCCTCCTCCTGCCCTCCTGAGGACGCTGCTCCCGATCCTGTGGTGGGAACCGCCCCATCTTGCCATGCACTGAAAGCACAGTCCGCCAGAATTGTGTGTGCACTGAGCACATGCCCGGTTCTGGACCCTCATCACATGGAGCCACCAGGACAGAGGGGTGCTCCCCACTGAGCCCAGACCTGGCCGTGAGATCGTCTCAGAGGGGAGCCCACAGCAACGAGGTATGTTTGAGATGAAACTTTGCTAACCCAGGGTGGTACTACTATTCCACAGCAAATCAGTGTCTTCTCCTAAGTTGTTTTTCCTAAGTTGTAAGCTGTTAGAAATGCCAGTGTCACATTTTTGTTGCTACATCCCAGAGCCCATGTTTTGCAGAGTTCTGACTCAGTAACGAAAACTAAGTGAACACAGAAATTGATGAATCAGTGAATGAGATAGCACTCCTGAGTGCAAGAGTTCCAATTTTCAGGGTAGCCAAGGGATTATTATAAGTGGTTCATAAGTCTCTATGGGACTTCCCTCGTAGCTCAGATAGTAAAGAATCTGCCTGAAATGCAGGAGACCTGGGTTTGATCCTTGGGTCAGGAAGATCCCCTGGAGAAGGGAATGGCTACCTACTCCAGTATTCTCGCCTGAAGAACAGGCACTGAAAACTGAGGGAAAAAAAGTTTCACCTATATGTATTAATATTTTTTGAATGTGGGTATGTGCTGTTGACTTAATAAATGATGACTCTATAAGCATTTTTGAGTTTTTGGGTTTCATAAAGCTGGTGGGGCACATGTATTAGATATTATAGGATACGTGTGTGCGTGCACAGTTGTCAGTCGTGTCCACTTCTTTGTGACCCCATGGACTGTAGCCCACCAGGCTCCTCTGTCCATGGGATTCTCCAGGCGGGAAGACTGGAGTGGGTTGCCATGCTCTTCTTCAGGGGATCTTCCCGACACACAGGGAGCGAACCCTCATCTCCTGCGTCTCCTGCATTGGCAGGCGGGTTCTTTACCGCTGCGCCACCAGGGAAGCCCCATTACAGGATACGCTGCACAAGATACTCACCTTTTGCACTTCAGACCCAGTTGCCACCCTCACACCCTTCCTGGTGCCGACAGCTTACTTTCTGGTCTGCCTCAATGAGCTCTCTTGCCTTTGGCATCAGGTAGGGTGCGATCAGAGAGGCACCAGCAGATCTTGAGTTCAGTTCAGTTCAGTCGCTCAGTCGTGTCCGACTCTTTGCGACCCCATGAACCACAGCACGCCAGGCCTCCCTGTCCATCGCCAACTGCTGGAGTCTACCCAAACCCATGTCCATTGAGTCGAGGGAGAGGGGAAAACCAGGGTGAGTGTGTATTTCCCAGGCTCACCTCTGCGGTTCTGCTGCCGGCCAGAACTCTTGACTGTGACCTCCCCTGCTCTCTCCCTGGATTCCTGAACTCTGCCTCTGTCTGGCTCTTCACACCTAGGGCGGTACCAGAGCCTGCTTCATCACAGAATCCCTCCCTCCTGCCCTCATGCTTCTGTGCTGGCCCTTCACCCACCCACACACTGTTCCAGACAGTCCTTTATCAAACTCTGCTCATCCGCCGGGGCCGAGTACCCCAGACCCTGCCTGATAAGTAGCCCCACGAGATCTGGGCGGTGCCCGGTGAGCATAAGCAGCAGCACGTCCACAGTTGTGTGCAAGGACTCCCACATGAGCAAGAAGTACACGCGATAAATAAACTCCCATCAGGTCAGGTGCTCTGCGCCAGGTAAGTCCAGGTCTGAACAGGGTTTTACACTCAAAATGAGTTACGGAAAAGCTTCCAGACCTGAGAGCTTTTTGGATTTCGGAGTGACAGATATGGGATTGTGGAACTAGTAGAGTCTGGACTGTGGACCGAGCGGTCACATGTTTGACTTACTGGAACCACTGGGCCAGGGATGACCGCACAAGAATGTGACCGTTGATTTGCCCTTGGAGTGAGCAGGGACCCTGGGAAAGATTCTCTATCTGGGAACTGGGTTGATATATTGCCCTTATGGTAGACAGCGGCCATTCAGCACACAGGAATAGCATTTCCAGCTTACTTAGACTAGGGACCACAGGGAAAATGCTTGTTTGCCGCACAACCCACTCCAGTATTCTTGCCTGGGAAATCCCAAGGACAGAGGACCTGGAGGGCTGCGGTTCATGGGCTGGTCGAGTCAGACACGACTGAGCGTGCATGCACACATGCACATGTATACAATATATAGTTTACTAACTGCTCTTAGAATTCACTGTTTCATGCTGCCTTGTAAATCTGTCAGTGGAATCACATGTATGAGGCACTAGAGGGTAGTGACATACGTGATCTAAGGTGCACAAAGAGTCTGCACTTTCACATAAACAGAGGGGGAAGACTGGTCGACCAAAGAGGGTCAGACAGAGTTGAGTCTGAGCTTGGATT